GAATCTTTGATATAATTTTTTTTTTCTGACACTGAAAAAAGAAACTTTCCTACAGAGAATCCATATTTTTGGAATTCTGTGAGATGGTGGTTTTATCAATGTCAATTAATCTTGACAGCTTAGCAGATTATTTATACAGCTATTAGAAGATAAACTATTGTCTTCATTTATGCATAATGTGAATGCTATTTTTTATGTTTTAATTAACAGAGATATATGAGAATTTTAGACAAAATAATTATTTTAAATAAATTCTTAAAAGTCTATGAACAAGGCAAGCATGCAGTTCTTTTAGCATTCAGTGACTGGGTAATGCCTTTCTTTTTTGAAAAACAATGTGCTTTCTCTTTTCTCATTATGAAAGTTGGAAAACTCATTGTGCTTCCCCTCTGACTTGGCCACCAGGAACCTCAATGCTGATCTAGGCTCATTCATAGTAAGTATTCCTTCCCATACGCAGGCATATTCTCTTCATCTTTTCATAGCTTTTTAATGCACGGTTGCTTACTTCTATTTTATTATTCCAATAAATGTAAATTCTACGTATATATGTAGAGAAGTAGAGAGTTCATTAATTTTAACTAGAAATTAATCTGAAACCATTTATTGTACACCCACTGTGTGCTAGGCATTTTTCTAGGGGATGAGAACATAGTTTATTAAAAGAACATTTTCAAAAGAGAAGTGAAAATGTTTCACTGTATCCTTAAGAGGGGGGAAAATCTGCCAATCAAACCAACTTCAAGAAAATGGAAATTTAAAAGAATTTCCTTAAAGGCAAAGCCTGCCAACATCAATTTAACTCCCACAAAGAGTTAAGCTAATACAGTGAGTGTTCTCACTGTTGCTTACTGGGGTATGGAAAACTGGTTACTTCCTGTACAACTCTCTTCTCAAGGGTCCTACAATAAAACTAGTTTTCATCCCGGGACACGCTAAGCACTAATAACACCACAAAATAAAAGCTTTTAAATAAATTGCCCCTCAACAACAAAGATCAGTTTAAACATTCTAACTTTCAAGAAAGAGAACTCTGGGTCTTACTTAGATTTCCTACCTTGAAGTCCCTGTAACAAGTAAGTCATACTTACAGGGGCAAGCCAAGAAATACAATGCATTTTCTGTGGCTGACTGGGCAAGAAAAATTAACTGGTAAAGTGTCCCTTTCAGGGATGACTTCAAGGTTGGTGGGCCTAAATTTGCACTTGCTTTCAGCTTTGTTTTGCATTACTGGCTTGCAAATATGTGTCACACAGTGACCCTAGGTTGGCCTGCCTGCTGCCAGCCTGATGTTGGAAAAGGTATTGAAATTTACAAGGTTCTTGCCCTTGGCCTCCACTCCTAGGGCGCAGCATTCTCACACATTTTAAGGAGTCACCAGCTCACAAAAGCCTTGTAGTCAGGGAAGGCAGTCCTACAAGGCTGCCCACAGATACACACGTGTTTGTCACCTGCCCTAGCAATTGCAAACAGAATAGCTCTTCTCAAGGCAACCTGTTTGTCCTCCCTTTGAAAGAGAAGGCTGTGTAAATAATTATATTTCAGATGGGGCAAAATATTGGAGTTTTCAATTTGGACTATGCACTTAGGCACCTCAGACTAATACAAAGGCTTCTAAATAACAGAGATGCCCTTATTTCACTGAGAAACTAAGCTAAAACTTTTAAATGGTGTCACTTCTTGGTGACTTTCTAAGCCTATCAAATACCTGAGTGGCCAACGTTTTTTAAGCAACTGCAAGGAGCATCTCAAAGGATTTAGAGAAGTAACAAATAACAAAGTATGACAGTCGGTTTTGAAAAACCAGAGGGCTCTAAATGAAGCAAAAAGCAGATCAAGAATAATAATTTTTAAAATCCCGGTTCGTTCCAAAAAAGTGTTAGAATTATAGCAACAAAACTCAAAATTTGTGGGACAAGATAATACTTGGCCAACATCACCAGATGTGTCAATACAGGTGTAAAAACTGTAACTTTTTATTAAATGGGTGTGAAAAGAATTGGGGAGGAGGAACAGGACCACTGAATCTGGTATTTCCAGATCTCGGCATTCAACATCTCACTCCCACACCATCAAGTTAAATAGCACTTAGCTCAAAACACAGGCTAGGTGACCAATTTCGGGAAGGCATCTGAGTCTTCCCTTCTGCATTCCCTTTAGATCTGCCGTCCTGGGCTTTCTTTCCTAATGGGATCTCCTTTCTAATAAAGTCCCTCGTATCTCTTGGTGTAATTAACTCATGGTACAAATCTTTCAAAAAGAAAGAAAGGAAAGAACTGCGGTTTGCTCTGCGCGCGGACATCTTTTCTTTCTTCGCCTTCACTTTCGCTGAAAAGGTTGTCGCAGAGGGGCGGGGAGGCTGGAAATCCCGCAGTTCCCTTATTCTTTCCCTTTTCTTTCTCTCCGCACACGCCACCGCTACATCTCCCCACCCCACTCCCCACCTCCAATCACTACGGTATTTAAGTCGGAGGGGGCGCTTTAAAAAGTTTCCTCTGTCTGTTTCTGTCTCTGACCCGAAACGCGCTTTCGGTTATAGACAGATCGGGCGCTCAAGCAGGGGACAGGCAAATGGATAAATAGTTGAAGGGAATAAACAACCTAATGGAGAAATGTCGTGCTGCCTAATTGCCATTATGTTTTTCAGATAAATAAGCATATTCTTTTGATAGCGTTCAAAAATCCTGAGCTGTCTTGCCCTATGCAAGATTTCTATGGCGCTTACTATATACCAGGCACTGTTTTAAATGCTTTTAAAATGTGATCTTCTTTGCTTAAAAAATTTTTAAACAGACACAAGATTCCGTGTGTGCTTTCGAACGTCCCTGCTATATTCTTCTTTATACATACTACAGCAGTTAAGTCTTCAAAGACAAATATGAAAAAACTTTAACCAGTTGCTACTTAATTGCCAGCAAATCGTTTCCCTCTTTCCAATTTTTCGCAATCATTTTAATTAAATACACTAGTATAGTGGCAAAGAACCGTTAGATTTTTTTTTCAGTGATGATCTCAGGTTTTGCCTCGGGCGTTTGGACGCGCCCACTAATTGCTCCTGTGGCAAACATTAATTGCACCTGTAGGTATTTGCATTCAGAAAAAAGTGCAGCCCTCACGGAAAGTTGTGACGATCGAGTTCGCCAGCGGCGCGTTCACCAGTGGCCGGGACGTACTGGCTTGCCGCGCTTGGGCAGGGAGGTGGCAGGCAACCGGCGCACGTCAGGCTCGTCACCGCTGGATTGCGGGGTCGGAGCGTGGACTGCGTCGGGGTGCTGGCCTGCCCTGCTCCGCGCAGCGTGCTCAGGCCGCCCTAGTGCAGCCGACCTAAGGCCCCGAACCCCGCGCCGACCCAGCACCTGTCCTGAGGCCGACAGGAGAGCTGGGGTTCACCGAGCCCCGTGGCCCCGCAGCTGGATGCGGACCCCATCTAGCCCCACCCGGTCCCGCTGGGTGTGTGCTTTGCCCGGGGTTAAGTTTCAGAAGCCAGGATGTAACGATTCACACGGTTATTGAAGGCATGGCGGTGGGGATCACGCAAAAGAGATTTGAGTGTGTGGGGAAGGGGAGTTGTGTTCCAATAAGGGCCTAGCACGCTGGCCGCAGGTCCTCCGCTCTCCTGGTCCAAACCCTGCCAGGGTCCCGTCTTTTCCGGTAACGTCCTTTCCTCTTCTCCCCGCCCCGCGCCGGGCTTGTGTCGACAGAGAACGGAGTGTCAAAGGGACGCCCTGGGCCGATCCCCAGGAAGGTATTAATCCCCGTGACGGAGGGTTGTGGGGATCGATAGACGCCCCTTTCTCAGAGGCTCTCTCTCCACTGTGGACCAAGCGGCCCCGCTAACGTGTGGAGCCGCCGCCCGTCTCTATAGGCACCGCCGCGCCGGAGCGGGCGAGCGGACCCCCGCGCGCCCGGCTGGGTCTCGCTCAGTGCCTTCCCCCTCAGCTTCACAGCCAGGTGGCCGGTTCAAACCTCCTACAGAACGTGGAGAGAACCTGCAGCCGTAAAACATGTTTTGAACGCACAGCTCGAGTTTTACACAAGGCACGTTGTCCGAGGCACGAACTGCTGGACACGAATTCGAACTTTAGAAACCAAATTTAATTTCCAAGGGCCAATCCTCACTTGCCAGATTCTTAACTCTGCGGCTGCGAGTACACCCACCAGGGAGACTGGAAGGAGAATGGAGGCAATTATCTGAATAATCCACGCCCGAAAAACTCGAACTTGAAAATCTACTACGATTATGTCCTGAAACACCCGCGTCATTACTCTAGTCCTTCCTACCATCGGAGCTGACACAGCTCCAGTCCAACGGCTACTCCTCAGGGTCTAGGATCCACAGTCCCTGGGGGCCGAAGACCCAGTGGAAGTAACTGATGGATCGCAAACCAGAAATCACAGCGTGGCGGACCGACCTGATCGGAAAAACTCGCGACCTCACAAGAAACAGCCCGGAGGCCGCGGAAGTAGCCTCGGGAGTTGTCAGACGGAAAAGCAATTTTGAGCTAAAGTTTTCAAAAGCCCCAGAGGGCAAATGTGACCGCTTGGGTCAGCCAGTCAACCACCGAGTGGGGCAGCCGGAGAAGCCGCGACGACTCCCGACGTCACACGCGCCCGCTCGCACTCAGCCACGCGCTCGGGGTTATTCTTTACACTCAGGACTGAAACTTCGCCCGCGACACCGCGGGGCGCGGAGGAGGGCTGCAACCCGAGGTCCAGGGCCCGCCCCTCACCGGCCCGCCCCCGCAGCGCCCGCGTTGGCGCCCGCGCGCTCCCCCGGCAGGCGTTAGCAAGACCGCGCTCACGCTCTCCCCGGCCGCTGCCCGCCAGCGCACAGCGCCGGGGTCCCAGGTCCGCGGCCGAGTTCCCACGCCTCGGCCAGAGCCTCCCCGCGGGCCTGTGCGAGCGCAGCCCCGCCCCGTGGCCCAGCCAATCGCGGGCCACGCCGACCAGTGAGGAGGCGGTGCCGGGCGGACCGTCGGGACTGGAGCGCGGGGGCGGGCGAGGTGGCCCCACCCGCGCAGGGGGCGTGGCCGGCGCCGGCTCTTGCAGCAGAGCAGAGTAGCGGCGTGGGAAAGAGCTGCTAGGAGCCGACCCCACCGCCGCCGGAGCCGCGCCTGCCCAGGCCCGGGGAGGGAGGAGGCGGGCGCGAGGGTGCTGCGCCCTGCTCGTCGATTGAGCTTCCGGCCGGGCTGCGCCCCGCGCGGTCTTCGCCGGCATGAAGCGCCCCTGCGACGAGACGACCTCTGAGAGCGACATGGACGAGACCATCGACGTGGGGAGCGAGAACAATTACTCCGGGTGAGCGCGGGCTCGGCAGGAGCGGCCACAGAGCTCGGGGGCGTCGGGAAGTTTGGTGCACGCGGGGCCCCCTGGAAATCCCGAGGCTACTCTCAGCAGCACCTGGGCGGAGAAGGAAAGTTTTGCCCGAGAAAGTTTGAGTAGTGGGCGCCCAGAGCGTGAGTTGGGATGGGGCAAGGGATGTGGATTTTCACCGTAGGGGCGGAGTGGCCTGGATGGGAGACGCCACTGAAAGGCAGGGCGCCGGAGTTGGCGAGGGAGGGTCCTGGCTGTCAGAGTTGGACGCGCGAACGGCAACGTCCGGGCGACAGGCGGTGGCCCAGCCGCTGAAACCGCATTTGGGTGCACTTTCAAAATAGATCAGGAGAAAATAAAAACAATTTGATTTTTAATTTTTAGAGATACCGAAATCACGACCTGATTTTTGGAGGAATTAGAGCAACCTGTGATTTCAAGGCTAAGTGGGTTGAGCTTTGCAGGTTGACCGTGTGTGATTTGGCCAACCCAAGAGTGAGTGACAGATGTTAAGGATCGGAAAGGGCATCATCATTTCTTTGACTGTTTGTTCTCAAGTCTGGAAGAGATCGGTGTCGTAATCACAGAAGACAGACCTCCACTTTCCTGTGACAGAGGGAGATTACCGAGGCATTTTAGAGCCAAGGCGGGTCAAATGATAATTACTTCTAATTGGCATCCCCAGAAGCACCTTAATTATTTATCTGCAGCTGTCACTCAAAGAAGGAAATTCTTCCTACCTTTGGAAAACTGGTTTTCTTTCATATTGTTATTCCAATACATACAAAGCAAAGCCTGAAATCTGTAAGAGCAAAGATATTTGCATGAGACCAACGGTTCAAGTATCTAATTATTAAAGTGTTCTTGCGCCATCTTTAAAAATGAGGTCTGAAAAACAGAAGCTATCACAGGAAAGGTGAAACCCATGAAGAAGGGGTGAAAATGTGGGGGACAGGTAATTCAGAAATAAGACCCAGAAAGGAGAAGGTGAGGTAATAGCAACCTGGTGCGTGCAGCGTTTCTAGAATGAAAGAGAACAAATAACAGGAACCTGGGGAATTTGAGAACACAAAGAAGTGTAGTATCCATGAATTATGAAGAGAAACAGATAAAAACTAGAAAGGACTATAAAAATTATGTGACCAAATAATACTCTGATTGAACTTTCAATATAAAAATACCTTTTCATTAGTAAATCCAAGGTAAATTGCAGCTTCTAGAGATTTAAGCTAAGCCTGAACGCTGAGACACACCAACAGTTTCATTTTTAAAGTAAAACATTCACCTAGTAGTAAAATGAGTTTTAATTTTCCTATCAGTGGCATATTTAGGGTATATTTTTGGAAGATTAGCATGCAAAACACCTTTTGTCCATTTTTTCCTGTTGCGACATATGACCAACTGAAGTTTTGAAACTTCTATTTATTTTAAAGTCTGCACCTAGAGACAAGAGTTTGATGTGTGACAACTGCACATCTGTTTGATAGCAGTGCTTAACATAACCTTGATTTGAAAAAGTATCATTACTTTGTTCAGTGTGCCTGACAGGAGGGAGAAGGGAAGCTATTTGAGGAAATTAGCTGACTGTAAAATATATATGAGTGGAACTAAGAAGTGCTAATATCTAACTTCTCACCCTAACTGCCCATAATTATTTCACTGGGAGACTCAAATAAAAATTCTGGGACATTTTGGCCAATGGGTTAGCATCTGGATTACCCATTTTTTAAAAAGCAAAAGTGTTAAGAGAGAAGCAGAACTAAGAATAAAATAAGGCAGATTTGAACTATGGAATCATTCTGAATATTTAATGGGCACCACCAAGTACCCAGAAGAAACTATTGTTATGTTAATGCAGCACCTGACATACTCTTCTTATTTCATAGACAAAGTACTAGCTCTGTGATTAGATTGAATTCTCCAACAACAGCATCTCAGATTATGGCAAGAAAGAAAAGGAGAGGGGTATGTGATTTTTCCTCCTTTTTATTTCATGTAACTCATACTAGTGTTTAACAGTTATATTTTTCCATTTGAGTAATTTTATCATGTGTGAATTCATAAACTTTTGTTATTTGCTTCTTTTGGATAGATTATAGAGAAAAGGCGTCGGGATCGAATAAATAACAGTTTATCTGAGTTGAGAAGACTTGTGCCAACTGCTTTTGAAAAACAAGTAAGCTAGCCCCTCCACGAACTCCCCCAAGCCCTCTCCAAAAAAGCTCAAACAATTTGATTCGCTCATCTGGGAATGTGGGTTCTTGTTAAAGCTCGTTAAAATAATGGTGTATGTGCCCTGATCTGGCACAGAGCAGCTATTTCAATAAAATGCTTTGTTGTGGCAAAACTATTAAAAACATAATCCATCATGAACTTGAAAAACATTTCCATTCTTTAGCTTATTTTCCCCTTAAGGGTAACAGTGTTCATGCTTTCTCTGTTCCTTCTATGAATACCAGTAGTGGTTTTATTTAAAACTGTGCTGTTCTTCAAAAAAAAATAATGAAACATCTTTTTTTTCTCAAAATGTTTCTAAAAAGCAATCTTTTTAATTATAAAATAATCAGAGCCCAAGAAGTAATATCTCTAGCTCTATTTCCTAAATAATAATACAAAATGTATTTATCAAGCTATTTGTTTTCATTTTTAATCCCTTGGTTGGTAGAACGCTGTTTGATTTGGGGCATCTTTCTAGAAGTTTAGTAAAAACGGAATTAGTCATAAATGCCCCTTTTCATAGTTCAAGTATTCCTTTACCAAAAAAAAAGAAAGGAAAAGATTTTGCACACTTAGAAAAGTAGAAAGCCAAATGTTTAAATCTTCTTTTGTGGTTTTAGAAAAGTCATGGCTCTCCCCCTGCCACAATGGCTAATGACAGATTTCTAAGAGCGTCTTTCAAAGGACATGGCAGCATGACCTTGTTGAAAATACTTTCAATTTAATTCCAGTAGGGTATAAGACAGCAGTTGTTTGTTTATTCCATTTTGTTTGTTTACTTCATGAATCTGCAAACATTATAAAACAAGCCCTACAAAGTCCTTGGAAATTATCCAGAAACTGCAGTTTCAATTATTACTGACTTTACTGAATCTACTTGGGACCATTGTCATGGAAAAGTTAAACACTGACAAAGTACAAAACATAATATGCTACTGGTTATACATTTTTTAAGACAAAAAAAGACACCCAATCTATATGCAGAGACTGTCTTTGATCAACTAAAAATAATGTGGAAATTGTAGTTTCGATATAGTGGCATTTTCAGTGCCAATCCGCTTCAAGTGAAAATGCCAGTAATCAATGATGTTATTAAAATTTGGAGTACTGAAAGGTCTGCAGAATGAGGAGAAGTCTGTTTGGTATTTTTCTTTTCTTGGTTTGTTAGATTTTTTTTTTCTTAAATATTGACTTAAACCTTAAAAGCAAACCTCAGTTGTTTGGCACTTAGTTACCATAAACACAAGCGCTCCCATTTGCAGAACCTGGCTACCAACCCTAGTGTGTTGGCCCTGTCACAATATGATTAGAGGAGTGTTCTTTAGAGCAGTTAAATAACTCTGGCACTCTCACTGTATGTGGTGCTGATAATTTTCACAGAACAAGTAAAGCACAGGGACCTGAAATAAACCTTAGTATCCTTAAAAAGAAAAAAAAATGAGAACATATTGGTATAATTATTTAGCTCTTCCAGGAAATAAGAAGCCACCCACAGCCCCCCTCCCCAGACAGTTTGAAATGGCACATTTCTATTTCAATTGGTTACCAGAGGTTTCCTTATTTTGAAAAGCAGCGACATAAAAATATATTTGCAAGACAATTTTATTAAGAACTATTTTAAAAAGTTCAAAAATCCTTAAGCATTTAACATGCTTCCTAGGTAAACAGTAAATTATTGCTTCTTGTTTGTGAGCTTAGAAATTCACAGTGACACCTGCTGGTAATTATTGGAGAAAAACCTTAAAAATCTTCCCCTTTTAAAATTTTTGGATCTGCTGGAAATGCAGATCCAATTATATTGTTCTAATGTGAATTCCTTATTTCAGAATTTAGTAGGCCTGTGAGAAGGCTTATTAGAATTTTCTATTTTTAAAAAGTTCAACAATAAATCGCTAAAATCCTATCTCCTTATCTTCTTGAGTTGTTATTCAACTCCTCTAGACTTTGGCTTTATAGAAGACTATCCATGCCCCGTAATAAAACATATTATTATTAACCAAGATACAGATTGAATGCAAAGTTTGAGATTTTTGCAATTGAAATAGTTTTGCTGTGGTGATCTTAGGAGAATAATTATTCTTATGATTTTTAAAAGTCATTCTACTTTCTTTTAGTCTCTAAAAGTTAAAATAGCAAATACCTGTCATTAGGTATGACATTAATTAGTGCTTTCATATAAAGTTTGGAAAGAATTCAAAATTTTCTGTGAAAAAATAAAACTTAGAATTGTTTAGTGAGAAGCCATAATGCTAAATTCAGTGTATAATGTTTCAAATTAGTATATTAGTATAATTAATATATGATAATATTTATTTATGAAGGGATCTGCAAAGTTAGAAAAAGCTGAAATATTGCAAATGACAGTGGATCATTTGAAGATGCTTCAGGCAACAGGGGGTAAAGGTAAGTAGATGACTTCATTTTTTTTCGCCTTTTTTACCTTTCTCTTTTCATGTTATTCCCCTAATATTGTAAGGAAGTCATAGTTGAACAGTTCTTTAACAAGCTGGGATAGGCGGCCCCAGATTAAAGCCGTGGAAATCAATGCTAATGGCAGGATTGAACTCGTGGGAAAGAACTTCTGGAACAAAAGAAGCACTTGACCCTGGGCTTGTGTTTGCTTTCATAATACTGTGGGAGTAAAGCTTCATTCAGAGCAGCCTGGTCCGAGATTTGTTTAGGACTTAAGAAGCGCATGCTGGAATCTGTACAGAAAGAAAAAAACACACAAACACAAACATCCAAACATAAACAGGAGGTTAGATGCAATTCTATCCTCCCCCTTCTTTCTTCCTACTGCTTGTTCTTCTTCTACATTAAGTGAAAGCTAAGACTGAAAATAATTCAGCTATTCCAAAGGAAATGACTCTAGAGTTCTTTTCATTATTGCCTTTAGATTTTGGTTGGTCTTGAATTGAAACCAAACAGAATAGTTGAAGTGCAGGTAGGAAGTCTCTGTACTAGAAGCCATTAATGGAGCAGAGTCATTCCTGGGGAAAGCAAACAGGAGCAGGCACTCCAGGTCCAGGGCCCTGGAGAGGTGCCCTCCGTACTAGATAGTGACTTAGGGAGAAATTGTCAAGGTGGTGAGAGACGATCTCTCATCTCGTGCTAAAAATAGCTTTGAGATCCTAGTTCACTCAGATTTCATTATCCGACTTTCACATCACAACTGAGACTTGATTTTGCCCCTCTGAATCTTTTTCATCCTTCGAAGAATCCTTTGATATTCACCTTAGCTAAGGGTGTTATTCAGTATATTTAACAACTGAATAAGGAGAAGGTGTCACACGGATTTAAGGGCTGCAACTAAATCCTGCAGGCCTCCCTGTGCTCAGCATTAACCTTTTACTACATAGTATATGGGTCCTAGATCAGGGCAGAGGCAGGGCATTGGAGGGAAGTAACTGTTTACCAGTATTTAACTCCTATACAGCCATACCGTTGAGGATCCCTAGGACATCAGCCCTGATCTTAACCATCTTTTACCTGTGTCTAGCAGGGAGGGAGGGTAACCATTGTATAGAGAAGCCCCAATGGGTTGAGTTACCCCAGATTGTACCTTCTCAAGGAACCATCCTGAGTGAGGTACAGTGGCCTGAGATACAGTGGCCTGAGATGCAAACGTTCTTACATAATGGACAAGATAATTTGATTAAATCACCAAAGCCAATGATCCCATCTAGGTTGACTGTTGCTGTGCCTTTGACCTAAGATAAAAGTAGTCTGCTGTACTTTGAGGGCTACACTAGCAGAATAAGCGCCAAAGCCCCCTGCAGCCCCATGATCCTGTCTCTACAACTGTTACCTCAGGATGTTAAGAGACTGACTGAATTAGTCATGCTGCAAGAAAATTTGTTTGATTGCTTTATTTCCCTTATGATTGTTAGCCACAAGTCTAAGTTTTCTTATCAGGGTTTCAAATATTTGGCAGGAGCAGTACTTGTAAAAAGTAATATTGTTCTTAGGCTTTATTATAAAAACTAAGTTCCATCTTGGTTGCTATTCTTGGCTACCTGGACAGTCCTAAAATTTGTCCCAGAATAGTTTGTGAACAGACATTTCCAAGTAGGCGCCATACACGCTGCCAGACTGTCAGGTCACTGAAGATGTCATTGCACTGGAGAATGGCCTTCAAGAAGGGAGCTGGTGGTTTGGGCTAGCACTGGAAAAGACTTCCAGCTGCCTCATAGTACAGTGGTGAAGGGCGTCGCATCTGTAGCTGGATTGCGTGATTTCAAATCCTGGTTCTGCCATTGATTAGCTCTGTGACTTTGGGTAAATTACTGACCCCTGGAGCTCCAGTTTTATCATCTGTAAAAAGAGGACAGTTATATTATCTATACTATAACTCATAAGCCTGTTGCAAGTTAATTCACTTAACGCCCAGAGGATAGTGCTGGCACAGAGGAAGTGGTATGAACATGTATGTTACTGTTGGCCCAAGATCCATTCACAAAAGACAGCTACTTATTTCCCTCTGAAGTTCACAATAGCATAGGAATTACATAATTTATATTCATTAAGATACAACAGAAAGCTCAGCCATATACAACAACATAGCAGGCAAACCACAAATTTCAATTACTTCATGACCAGTAAAGAAAATTCTTAGAAGCTCTTGGGGCTCCAATTCTGGTAGGTCATTCTTAACAGTCTGTCTTGGTATGACAATAGTATCTAGAGAGGATTTAGTAGAATAACCTAAGCTTCGAAATCCCTCTGGATTTCTGGACACTATCTATTCTATTCATTACCCCCATCTTTCTTTCATGGGAGTCAGAAGTCTGCAAAGCCCTAGAGAGAACCCTGAGGACCAAAATGTGAAATCTTACTTGAATACTTCTTCTTCAGGGATAACGTTTCATCCTAATTCAAGGGGCTGTGTTTGCTAACTATGTCAGAGTCCTGGGATGATAACTATTTTTGCTGCTGATCTTCCATATTTCATGGTATTCTCTTGGTAATCAGCTTTGTACTGTTGTTGTTTCTGTTTTAATACTGTGTATATTTGCCACAAGTATCTTTTGGGGACTTCCAAATTGTTGGAATTTTAGCTTTAGGATTTTGAATATATGTGACTACTATTTCCAAAGCTCTTTGATTACAGATTAAGATAGTCTAGTTTTTAATAGGTGATGATTAAACAGGTAATACTTTGATCAGCAAAAATATAAACAGATAATGTAGTAAATGCTTTAGATAAAAATAACTGCTGGGTGTGGTGGCTCATGCCTGTAATCCCAGCCCTTTGGGAAGCCAAGACAGCAGGATTGCTTGAGTTCAGGAGTTCTAGACCAGTCTGAGCAACATAGCGAGATCTTGTCTCTACTAAAAATCAAATTAGCAGGCATGGTAGTGCATGCCTGTAGTCCCAGCTACTCAGGAGGCTGAGGCAGGAAGATAACGTGAGCCTGGGAGATGGAGCCTGCAGTGAGCTGTGATTGGGCCACTGCACTCCAGCCTGGGTGACAGAGTGAGACTCTGTCTCAAATAAGTTAGGGCTGGGTGCAGTGGCTCATGCCTGTAATCTCAGCACTTGGGAGGCCAAGGCAGGCGGATCATGAGGTCAGGAGCTCGAGACCAGCCTGACCAACATGCTGAAACCCTGTGTCTACTAAAAATACAAAAATTAGACAGTTGTGTTGGCATGTGCCTGCAGTCCCAGCTACTCAGGAGGCTGAGGCAGGAGAATCGCTTGAACCTGGGAGGCAGAGGTTGCAGCGATCAAGCCACTGCATTCTAGCCTGGGCAACAGAGTGAGACTCTGTCTAAATAAATAAGTTAATAAATAACCTTGTGATATTTCTTATGTAGGTACACATCCGAAAAATGAATAGACTAAACTTTTGATTTGAAAATTGCTTTTTTACAAGTGGTAAATGAAATGAAAAATCTGTTTGTACATACTAGAGATTACTCATTCAAAGTAGGTAATATTTCCCTAAATATCTGATTATTATTGTACCCTAAATTAGACATTATTGTTTCCTTTTTTTTTTTTTTTTGAGACAGAGTCTCACTCTGTTGCCTAGGCTGGAGTGCAATGGCATGCTCTTGGCTCACCGCAACCTCCGCCTCCCGGATTCAAGTGATTCTTCTGCCTCAGTCTCCCTAGTAGCTGGGATAGTACATGGTGCATGGCACCGCAACCTCCGCCTCCTGGATTCAAGTGATTCTCCTGCCTCAGTCTCCGTAGTAGCTGGGATGGTGCATGGTGCATGGCACCATGCCCAGCTAATTTTTGTATTTTTAGTAGAGACAGGGTTTCACCATATTGGTCCGGCTGGTCTCGAACTCTTGACCTCGTGATCGGCCTGCCTTGGCCTCCCAAAGTGCTGGGATTACAGGCTTGAGCCACCACGCCCGCCAACATTATTTTCTATTCTAATGTATTATCTTTGGGCAGAGACTCAGATAAATGTGACCAAGCTCTAGCCATTTTTAGGGTAGTAACTATAGGTATAAGAGTACATGCATATACACTGACAAAATTAATATACATTCTTTTGTTGGGCGTATACCAGAAAAATGTAAGGACATATATTTGAACTTCAGAAAAACTAAGAGTTAACCTATAGTGTTTTCATACCAGGAACTTAGCCTTATATGACTGACAGAAAAATAAGATCTTCAAATAAGAAACCAATTAAAAAAAAAAACAAACTCATTTTGTTTTCATTAAATTTTTTATACAAAGTTATGACAAGATGTTTTCACTTTGTTGATAAAAAACATTGTGAGTCAAGGAGCATTTATGAATTTATTGCGATTCTAGCACATTTTGAAAGTCCTCAAGCTGCTAAGATGCACTTGCATCTCTGTTAAAATGCCAAGAGAGTAAAGATGTTTCAGATAAGCCCTTTAATCTCCAACTCATGTGAGAGAGACAGAGAGACTGGAACTCTATAATTCCACAAAAACGTTTCCTGGGGAATTTCACTATCCCACAATACAAAAGGGGAGACCCCATTTCTTTCTCTGGAAGTGTTTCAAACGTGGATGTTCTTATTTTTTTTCCCCACTGTGATATTTAGCTGCAAGAACAACTGTAGTATATTGCATTGCCCGAGTTGTCACACATGTGAGTGGCAAAGTATACTTTCTTAACTTCTGCAAAAAATTAAAACCATAAATAGCTGGCAATATTTTCAGAAAGGATTATCGTTCCACTTCAGTCTTCTGAAGGACAGAGTGGAACATCATGGGGTAGTTATTCTTAACTGTACCATTTTCTCATCTCTCTCTCTCTCTCTCTCTCTCTCTCTCTCTCTCTCTCTCTCTCTCTCTCGTCTCTATCTCTCAATCTCTCTCCTGCCCCCCACTTTGCTCAAACCCACTTTTAGGCTACTTTGACGCACACGCTCTTGCCATGGACTTCATGAGCATCGGATTCCGAGAGTGCCTAACAGAAGTGGCACGGTACCTGAGCTCCGTGGAAGGCCTGGACTCCTCGGATCCCCTGCGGGTGCGGCTTGTGTCTCATCTCAGCACTTGCGCCTCCCAGCGGGAGGCGGCGGCCATGACATCCTCCATGGCCCACCACCATCACCCCCTCCACCCGCATCACTGGGCCGCCACCTTCCACCACCTGCCCACAGCCCTGCTCCAGCCCAACGGTCTCCACGCCTCGGAGTCCACCCCTTGTCGCCTCTCCACAACTTCAGAAGTGCCTCCTGCCCACGGCTCTGCTCTCCTCACGGCCACGTTTGCCCACGCGGATTCAGCCCTCCGAATGCCATCCACGGGCAGCGTCGCCCCCTGCGTGCCACCTCTCTCCACGTCTCTCTTGTCCCTCTCGGCCACCGTCCACGCCGCAGCCGCAGCAGCCACTGCGGCTGCGCACAGCTTTCCTCTGTCCTTTGCGGGAGCATTCCCCATGCTTCCCCCAAACGCAGCAGCAGCAGTAGCTGCGGCCACAGCCATCAGCCCACCCTTGTCAGTATCAGCCACGTCCAGTCCTCAGCAGACCAGCAGTGGAACAAACAGTAAACCTTACCGACCCTGGGGGACAGAAGTTGGAGCTTTTTAAATTTTTCTTGAACTTCTTGCAATAGTAATAATGTCCTCCATTTCAGAGTCAGCCTAAAACCTCTGCACCCTGAAGGTAGCCATACAGATGCCGACAGATCCACAAAGGAACAATAAAGCTGTTTGAGACACAAACCTCACGAGTGGAAATGTGGTATTCTCTTTTTGTCTCTCTCCCCTTTTTGTTTGGTTTAAGGCAGCTCGGTAACTGACATCAGCAACTTTTGAAAACTTCATACTTGTTACTATTAGAAGTTTCCTGGAAAATATATGGACCGTACCTTCCAGCAGTGCATCAGTATGTCTGAACTGGGGAAGAAAAATGCCCTGACTCAATTCTCTTGAGACTAGATGGGAAATACATAGGGAGGAGAGCGAGAGAGTCGTGTTTCGTAAGTGCCTGAGCTTAGGAAGTTTTCTTCTGGATATAAAACATTGCACAAGGAAAGACGAGTGTGGAGTTAGGTTAAGAAAGCAAAGGGACAGAAGTCTTACAATATGCTGCAGACATTTGAATACCATGCCAGAGAAGAGTATTCTGCTGAAACTAACAGGTTTTATTGGTCAAAATGATTGCTGAATGTAATTTTCAAGTTGAAAGACATAGTTTTATCTTAGTTTGCCTTCTTTGTACAGACATGCCAAGAGGTGATATTTAGCAGTGCATTTGGTATAAGCAATTATTCCATCAGTTCTCAGATTAACAAGCATTTCTGCTCTGCCTGCAAGCCCGCAGGCACTTTTATTTTTTGGATGGCTCAAAATATGGTGCTGCTTTATATAAACCTGACTTTATATAGTGCACCTAAGAGCAGTTGCCTACCATGTGCCCACCAGAAGCTACTTAATTCATGCCAACTTGAAAACTCTCCAGTTTGTGTGAGTTTGGATTAATTTATTCAGTTTCATTTGGACTATTTTTATATATTTATCCTCTTCATTTTCTCCTAATAATATAACATCTACTCTTGTCACCCTTTGGGAGAAGTTACATTTCTGGAGGTGATGAAGCAAGGAAGGAGCACTGGGAAAAGAAAAGCTACAGTTTTTAAAGCTCTTTGTCAAGATAGTGATTGCATTTGATCCCAAAGCAAGATGAATGTATGCAATGGGATGTACATAAGTTATTTTTGTCCATGCCTAAACTAGTGCTATGTAATGGTGTTGTGTTTTTGTTTTTTTTTTTTTTTTTTTTTGTTTAATGACAAAATAATCTCTTAATACGTTGAAATCAAGCACGTGAGAGTTTATGTTTAAAAGATAAGAGACACAGCATGTATTATGCAGTTCATTTCTCTGCTGTGTGGAGAAAGCAATAAACATGAGAATGTTAAACATTATGCAAAATTATACTTTTAAATATTTGTTTTAAAATTACTGTACCTAGTCTTTTTTGCATTACTTTGTAACTTTTTTCTATGCAAGAGTCTTTACATATCACTAATTAAATGAAGTCCTTTTTGACTGTTTTTTATGTGGTTGAGTTGCTTTGCAGAAATGTAGCTTTCCACTTTTTATGTGGAAAGTCGACATGAATCTCGAGAGGTCTTTATTTACTAACAATTCAAGCTATGGCTTTTCTTTATGTATTTCAAAATCATTTGACTTATGTAATTCACAGCTTGCCTGAAAATAACATTTATCTGAGCTTGTAAACTAAACATAGGCAGGTAAGATATTTGGAGGCAAAAACTAATCAGTTTCCTCTGCCTTTTAGTCTTCACTACAGTTCTTGGAAAAGTGCAAATTCAAGACTTCCAAATAGTGTACCAAATGTAGGATAATAAGCCTGAACATGTCATACATGTTGTAATTCAAAAACATGTGTACAGAGTTTTAAAAACATCACATACATACATGATAGGCATATACATCCTAATGATAAATCCCCTGTGCTTTGATGACAGTTTCTTTTGTTGCTGTGGAAATTTTATGGATATTCCCTCCACTTCAGTGAGGCCTAAAATAAACTATTAGAGTGCTCCTGAAGCTATTGGGCCAAACAACATGAAAAGAATGAAAGTGATTTTAATTCTGCCTATCAATTTGTACAAAGGAAAAAGGAGGTTTTTACATTATTCTGGTCTTGAAAAATCAAGCACATAGTTTAATTTCTGTCTGTAAGTGGGTAATGAAAAGGTGGAAGGGGGGCAAAAGCAAATCACTTTTTTTCTGTTGTCTATAAGCCCTGTGGTTCATATATCTTCAATTGGCTCTAATAGAATAAGATAGCAAAAAATAAAATTGATTTAATTGTCTTAGGTGGTTCCTTTATAATCATGATTTGTGGACAACAGCCATATAATTTTTAAAATTTAAAACCTTTACATATGCCTATTGTAATGTCAGCATTCAGATAACTTTTCATTCTTTTTGAAATGTAGACTTTTAGAGATCAGGAATTTTAAATTTATTTGAATTAAATGTTTTAAGATAAATTCCTTTCCTTTCTGCTTCCTTCCCTTTCTTTTCCTTTTTGTGTATATATGTATTATTATTTTTATTTTTTCTTTTTTTTCTTTATTCTTTTTTTTTTTGAGACAGGGTCTCACTCTGTCACCCAGGCTGAAATAGGGTGATATGATCATGGCTTACTGCAGCCTTGACCTCCCAGGGGCAGGTGATCCTCCCACCTCAGCTTCCCAAGTAGCTGGGACCACAGGCGTGCACCACCATGCTCAGCAAATTTTTGTGTTTTTTGTAGAGTCAGGGTCCTACCATGTGACCTCTTGCCCTCAATTCATTCACCTGTTTCAGCCTCCCAAGGTGCTAGGATTATAGGCATGAGCCATCATGCCCAGCCAGTTTATTATTTTTCAATTCTGCTAACTAAAATATTTGCAAACCAACTTGCCACATGGTTAATAAGAAGGTGTTCCTAAAGATAATCATTGTCAGTAATTCAGTGATTTCAAGTTAATTATGATGGGTATTTCATGTGATCGACTTCTAGCATCATATCTCACTGTCGATATTAACTTGACCATTGGAGGTTGCCATCTCCCATGCAAGTGTTTTGTGAAGGTGGTATTCCACCTTTAGGTGTGGTAATTTTCATGTTTGCTACCAAAATAGAAAAGGGTTTATACCCTTTAAAATTATTTTAGGGAAAAAATATTTTCAGGGTTTGAATTATTAATGGTTGCTTTTATTTGTGTAAAAGTTTATGTCAAAATTAACTCAAAGGATAAAAGGAAAAAGGCGACCCTTAGAAATCTGTGTTTTCTCAACTGTTTAAAGCTGTGTGTATGGCTAATTAGAACAGGGTTTTTTAAATTTCAGATCAGTGAGCCAGAAGGTATTTTTTAAAATAACTGCTGTGTGCCCAGCATTGTGCTGTATATGTTGAGTTTGCATGGTGTGTAGTAGCATGTCAAAGTACAATCCTATAGACTGAAAGTGATAGGTATGGCTGCCACCCTAGCTATTCACAGGGGTTCTCAAAAGAAGGAGGTGCACTGAGAGTCACAAAAGGAGATTCTGGGAGCTATGGGGAGGAGCTTTTGCTTTTCTTCAGAAATTTTACTATCATAAATATGATCTTTCATTTTTCAAGAAATATGAGGGAACTTTAAGGTGATGTTGAAACATTAAAAATTCCGAATATTATTTTTTTGGAGGAGGGACAGTCTCACTCTGTCACCCAGGCTGGAGTGCAGTGGTGCGATCATGGCTCACTGCAGCCTCAACCTCCTGGGCTCAGGTGATCCCCCCACCTCAGCCCCCAAGCAGTTGGGGGAAAATTCGAATATTAATCAGAGAGATGGCTCTCCTATGCACCTGTGCATATGTATTATCAAATATAATGAAGCCTTTCAGACTATCCTTCTTATATATTCAAATTGTTCTTTTTGCCAATCCTCAAGTTATCAAAAAGCCAGACTAATCACCTTAGGTAACATCATCAGAAAGCAATATGATTTTAGAATTTCATTCAAGATGAGATTTGGGTGGGAAAAAATAGAATTCCATATTTCCATGAGTCTAAGTCTCCATTAGTTGCAAGATACACTATTGGTTGAAATCAGTTTCTAAAGAAAAAGAACCACTACAACATAACTTTATACATTGACCATAAAACTGCCTAATTACTAGAATGTAAAAAAAAAAAAAAAAATTTAATGCACCTTGGATTTTAGGCAATACAATAATACAGCATTGTACTCAAATGCAGTTTTAGAAATTCATGGCTGGAGTTGTACATAGATTAAAATGTGGCTGTTTTAACTTACTTTTAAAATATCTCATTAGGATAGAGTCCTAGTCTAATCAGAGAATCTAGGTTGGCTTTGTAAGCCTAATGATCTAAAGATAGACGTATTTTTTAAACTTTTCATTACCCAATGGGACTACCTCTAGTTGTTCTGCTGCATTTTACTGAAGAATGGAGTTTGACTTCCCCTTATAATTCTTTTAAGATCTAAGCACTGACTGAGGCTGTGAATATTTCAGTAACTACAACAAAGCATTGCAGCAAACATGACATCATAAACTGTGACTATAGCTCATATTATTTGGAAGGCTAAGTCTTTGAACTTAGATGGGAGATCTTTAGAAGAAGAAAAGCCTCTAAGCTTACATAGACAATCTTGGGTGAGGGGCCAAAGGCAGATGGGAAATGGTTCTCTAGGCACCAGGTGGTACTTTTTCCCAAGGCTCCCTTACTTCTAACTTCAAAGGAAAGGAAGTGGTCAGGGAATATCTGCTCTAACTGTTGGAATCAGTACCCATTGCAAGGTGCAGGTCTGAAAAAGAAAATCAGTTATGACACAAGCTGCTAATACAGGTCAGTTGTTCGCTATACTAAGCCGCATGCTAAGTGTTTGAAATCTGTTTCTTCATTTAAGCGTCATAATAGTTTATTTACTTACATATTAGAAATTGGGTAATAAAGCTTAATTGTCCAAGGCCATTCCTAGCAGGTAGAGCTTTAACTTAACCTAGACCTGTCTACTTAATTCATACTTCTGATCTCTAGGCTGTGGCTTTTGACATCACTTTTTTTTGGTCTCAGAATTATTCCGACTTCCCCAGGATTTCAGCCTGCCTGGGATCACTTTGGACTAAGGATGAGAGTACATCTAGCTATAGTATTGTTATAAACCCACCTCCAGCTCACTCTTTTAATATATGAAAGGATGAAAAAAGGAATAACTCCAGTTTATGATGTAACATAAAAGGGAAATTATCTTGGCAGTTCTCTAGTTTCAACTTTCAATCAAGTTACACCTATCTTTTCTTCATCCACAAACTTACCCTCTAAAGGCTACCACAGAAAATTCTATAATCTCACTCAAAGTAGTTGACAAAGGTGTGGCAAAATGGTGAAGTATTAAGGTGCTAAGCAAATTGAATCTGAAAAAAAAAAATCATTTCCAATCTTCCATTGAATCTAAAAGATAAGAAATTGTTGTTGTTGTTGTTTAGGGAGAATGCTGGATTATTCTGAATGTTTATACACCATAGGTCCATATGCCATAAAATAAAATTTTTCATTTGACCTATGAAGACCTGTCCAATAACCCATTCACTTTAAAAATTCTTGTAATCAGAAAGGGCCTTTTAACTAACCTAACTCTTTGGCCTATAGTTAAAGAACGTTTTTGATAGTTAGTATGTGCATAATTTTTCAAAAATCTTATGCCCAGAGAAATTTTTATATGCCTCTAAGTTCTTAGCCTTCTATAAACTAAATATTTGGTTTTCTTGACCTCTGTTGCCATTCTGTCAGTGTGTGGAAATGAAGAGATTCATGCATATGAAGTGTGATATGCCTGTAATAGAATGTATTTATTATAAGCTTTATTTAAGGGATAGAAAGAGGTTGAAAAACCTTGGCATTTAACTCTAAAGTTTCTTGTAACAAGTTTGCATTGTAAGTCTTGTGTTTTCATTACTGTGAAAACAAAGTCACATTTTCTCATTGCGGAAGAAAAAGTATTTTGCAAAGAATGGCTATTATTCATAGTGTTTTACTTGTGTAAGTGTAGTGATAAATTATAACTCTGAACACAAGTGAATATCTTAGTTGAGTTAACCACTCCTTTCCTGATTATAAGCTGTCAAGCTGAATAGGATTTACCTTCCTGGGTCTTTCAGCATTTCTTTTTTAACCTTTTTCCTTAATTGCAGAGAACCTGAAGACTTTTTTTTTTCACCAAAGCAAGATGACCAGAGCTTTGCATAGTTCTGTTTGGGTAGAGATTCCCCTAAGCCAGCAATGACTGGCCTCTTTCCCTGTCCTAATCAGTCCGTCCCAGCACAGCTGCATGAAGTTGGCTTCTCTGGGGCTCTAGCAAGATGATGGTGTTTGCAGTCGTGAGGGCAAAATACAGAGGCACACAGACCATATTTTACTCTCATGATAGCACATTTCTATCACAGGCGCAAGCAATACAAGCATCCACTGTTAGATTTATTTTATTGTTTTGACAGCTTTCTGACAATGGAAAGATAAACATAAAATAGT